CATGGGCATTTAGCACCGTGTTGCCCGTTCAGGAGCAAACAATCAAAAAAAATATCATCTCACTGTGGCATGTGCATCTTCTCTGCATTGCAGGGCTAGTCATGCAGTTCTCTTCCCACATTTAAAGGAGTTTCCAATTTACAGATGACATCTTGTCCTGCCAGCAATGAATGTGCATATCAAGCTTAATGTTTTGGAAAAGATCTTTGACAGGTTTCTGAATTCCAAGTGCTTTCAAGCTTTTATTTTTTGTCCCCTCCTTAAATATCCTCTCTGTTGCAGGTTCACTGCCCCTAGTCATTCACAAGTTATGTATGAGAAACTTCTGGGAGAGAAGGGTCTGGTGCAGAATCAACTCTCTCAGGAGCCTTGGTCACCCATGGTACATTCTCAATTCATGTAGGCTAATGGTGTGTGTGTGTGTGTGTGTGTGTGTGTGTGTGTGAAAGCATTCCCCTTATTCTCCTGCGCATATTATCCACAGGCTGAGCTGCAAGGTAGAATAGCTTCTCCAGCTTCCATAAGAGTAGGAAATGGGAGGGGTTCTGCTGCTGCCTTTACTGTTTCAGGAAAGTAAAAATGAGCTGGGAAGAGGTCTATTTGCACACCTTACACTAGCAGGGAATCAGAAGACATAGTTAACTTTTTCAACTCCCTGCTGCTTCTTACTCAGGATCATGAGAGTCACAATCTAGCCCTTAGCCAGCAGCAGAACATTAAGGCTCGTTGTAGCCCTCAATGAAGGACTGATGCTGAAGTCAAATGGTCTTCCTTGGAGTTTCCTGGGCACTTTGGATTTAAAGCCATTCATTTTGCTACATCCTTGGACAGGGATGTGAGGGGTGGCAGGAGGCAAGGAAAGCGACTTTCTCCTCTCCCACAAAGTCATTGGAATGAACAATTCCATAGCAGCCCCTGTGCACAGAAGCCATTTTTGATTAAATTTCATGGGTGGCTCTAGAGCGGGCCATTTAAGGAAGTCAGGAAGACCCTGTCCTTCATCTTTGCTGTTTGGTTGCATAAGCACAACCTAGTTGCTACTTAAGATCAAGAGCCTATTCTCTTTCCACTTGTGATTATGGAAGAATTCCCATCGACTTCAGCTGGCCAAATCTTGCTGGCTTTCCATGGGTCTTTATGAAATCAGCTGGACTTAATTGCATGAATTGGACTTGGACCAATGAATGCAGGAACAGAACTTGCAAGTGTAGTGTATAACAAAATACAATTTTAATCATCCACTAACTGGCTATATTCAGAGCGTCTGCACACAGTTCCTTGAGGGCCTTGGTTATAAGTTATGTTGAATTTTATTCTTCAGGGACAGCATTATTATAAAAGCTAGAGAACAGCTTGGGTCTTAATTTACATGGGAAATACAAGTCAAAGACAGTGATTGCTAACTGACCTTCCCTAAGAAAACCTCACTGATATTGTCATAATTTTACAGCCAGCAGAGAAGCCAATCCTAGTCGATCCAGCTACCTCTGAAACTACGCGCCCTCCCCCATGTCACAAGTGATGCTGTCATTCTGAAGTTTCTGCTAGAGATCATTTCAGGCCGTGGGATTGTAACATTTGTGATTAGGCAATGGCCCAATGACATCACAGTAATGAAGGCCTTTTGAAGTGTGCTATTCAGTCAGAGGAACCAATGTCAATATGAGAGTGGTGCTAATGACATGGTTGTCCCAGCGGGACAGCAAAGCTGGAGGGAGGGAGAAGAGACACCCAACTGATTTGTGTTATCTCAGACCCAGAATGGCCTTTGCATAGGTTTAAAGGGTCAAGACTTTACCCTTATCATTAGCTCTATTCAAGGCACCCCCTAGAAAGACTTGAGGCACCCCTGGATAGATTTGAGGTGCGTCTTGGAAAATGTCATCTCTTAGTTTTCACTCTTTTTTGACTACAGAAACATAACGGTGCAGTTGTTCTGCTGCAAAGAGCTCAGAAAAATCACAACTATGGATTTCTATTTGAAATCTCTTTATCTTGTGATTCTAGTTTGTAAACCCAACAGTGCTAACATTGTGTGGCATCCCACAGCACCCTTGAAAGGATGTGAAGAAACCCCAGGGTGATGTGGCACCCCAGTTGAGAAGCACTGCTCTAGCCGCTGGCTTATCCTAGTCCCAGTCTCTGCATTCGGAAGACAGCAGTGTTGTGAGCTCAGGAGTGCTTCTTGCAACATGGGGAGTGGAAAGCTGGGTTATGATGCCAACTCTTCCCTAACCCCCTAAGTTTGGACTCTCCAGAAAAAGGAACTGAAGAGAAACAATATCTGTGTGTGACAGCTCTTGCCCTTGGGCTCACTGGTGGTGCAGCTCAACACCGCTCTGTCTGACGGTGCAGTATGGCAGTGACACAGGGGCAGAAAGGTTTTGAGAGCAGGGATTTTGGGTTGGGGCAGGTGAGGTTTTGGTCTGTGGTAGCAGGGGTTGCCTCACACACTAAGAAAAAAGTCTTCAGGATCTGCTTCCAAGCCATGTAGGAGCAGTTTCTAGATACTAGTACCAGCGCATGCAGCCTGACAGTCTGCTGTACAGATGGCCAAGCTATGAGTCCCTTGGAGTCTCTGGGCACTTTCGCGTGTGCTCCGACACATTCTGATTAGAACGCATTGGAGTAGACTTAATTAATTGATGAATCGAGTCTACTCCAGCGTGCTGCAGTGTCTCATGTATTCAGTGCCCCTACATTTCAAAATGGCAGCAGGGGTGCTTTAACTGAAGCTCGTTAAACACCTCCCCTCCACCTACATCCTGGAGTATGTATATAGGTGTCCTTTCTGTCCTCCTGGGGCATCAGGCTACCAAGGGCCCTTGAGAGAGACTCAAAAGAAAGACAAAACATCATTCATAATCCTAAAAATGCATCTCATCTCACTTCAAAGTGGCAGGCTTCCTTTCCCAGCCTCCAGTAACATGAAGGCATATTGAACTGAGGCCACAAGAACACCTGTCCCTGGCAACATATTCCCTTTTTTGGAGACTGAATTCAGGAATGGTCCATTTGAAGGCATGTTAGGAGGATATTCAGCTATTTGGATTCACTTCTGACAAAAGGGGAAAGTGAAAGAGAACTGGCCCTTCCTGGATAAAAAAATTGTTTCATTTATTGATTTAATAACTAGCTTTGTCAATTAAATGACATGGGAGTAGCGGTCTTGTATTTACATAGTTTCCTGTTTTAGCTCATTATAGCGCAACTCTTTTTAAAGTTTTCTGTGGATTTTTCTATCTACACTTACTGCAGAGTATATTATATATGATATAAAACTTTTGTTTTATAAGCTTTCCTTCCTTTGTGTCTGCTATTTATGTTCCCGACCCAAAGTCCATATAAGTCAATTTTATTTGGCTGGCTTCTTGGTTTTGTTTCCTTCGCCCCCATCATGATTTCAGGAAGTTTTGACTCAGGCCCATATCTATGAAGGCCAGAAAAGGAAGGGAACAAGCCTAATCACACCGTGTACTGAGTTCACTTTATAAGTCATGGAGAGAGACAACCCTGAACCACAGACCCCTTAGCTACAGGCTTCTCTGCACAGGACACCAAGCAAAGAAATGGAACAACACATACACATGAAGTCATTGTGTCCAAATGTGCACTCCTCCCAATGACTGCAGTTCCCAGGTGTATGAAATGTTCCTCCTCCCACTTCCAGAGGGAAATCAAAAAAAAAAAAAAAAAAAAATCACAGTTTTCAAAATATGTAACTGGAGCCTCAGAGAAAAATGAAAGGAACTTTGCAAGCATGCACAACATGCAGATAATTATGAAATGAATAAGGGAAATATTCCTCCTATAAGCCAACTCTGCCTTGCAGGGGGAAAAAAACCAAAACATGTTTAACTTGATTATTACTCTGCTGAGGAGCAGGATCTAAATTGAACTCTCCCCCTACAGTAATGCAGCTGGAGGTGAAATAGTTCATAAATAATAACTTTCAGAAGATATGAAGCTTTCCTCCAGCTTTCCCCCCATGGATATAAGCAACACGTTTTATCAGGCAAATATTCCATTGCTGGATAGCTATCCCACTGGGAGAAGGAAGGGGAAGAGAGCTTCTTTTTTTTTTAATTTATAAAGATTTTTTTAATTCACAAAGTATCAGGTAGGTCAGTCTCATTTGTGTAAATTTGAGCTGCTGTAGCCCCTGCTGGAGCTAAACAGACACAGAGACCACTCTTTTTCAAGGCTTAGTGGTAGGATTTGAGCACCTACACATTTGGAATAAGTCACTTAACTGCTTTCATTGGAACGATGCCTTTGTTTCCTTTTCATCCCTGAGAGATTAAATAATTGCTTTGTATGTGGAGCAGAGGCACTTACACTCACATCCTGTATACAGGTAAGTGATCTGCTGTCAAGCTGCAGGAGAAACTAAATCTAGTCTCAGTTTTGCTTAGTGACTCACAATTTTAGATACACTTATGCACACACTTGAGAGGGCATCGGGCCAGCACTGTTAAGAAATGGTGAGACCCAGGAGAGAGAAATAAGCTACCTTGTGTTTCTGCTGCTGCCAGCTCTTGAATGAGCATTTTGGCAGTGGTTAAGAAGAGAGTGGGGGAAAGCCACAGAAGATTAAGGGAAATGGGATTTAAAAGAGTGACATAGTAACATAGGTGGTCAGTGTATTAAATTAACAGACAGGACAACAAGGCAGGTAGCTTCTCTGACTCCAGTTTCAACACATTTTAGTTGCAAGGTAGATGAAAGAAATATCTTGTAGGACAGGATAGCTGTCAGGCTATGTACACTGGAAAATTTCCATGTCTTCACCCAAGAGTGTAAACAAATACCTCTATTGGCATTAGCATAAATGATCAAGGTGACACTACCTTCTTCTTAAACACAGATTGTTACTGTAGTTACCTATTCAGTGTACTTACCAAGATGCAGGCACAGAACAGGGAGGAGGGTGGAAAGCAAGTGAGTAAGTGCTAGGGAGGGGAAAGAAAACAGAACATGTGAATAAAATTACAGCTCACCTTTTGAATTCCTGGACTCAGATCCATTCCAAGCTTTGCCCTGGTCTTCTCCCCTTCTGTATTTCAAGATGTCAGGTCTTTTAGTCAGGAAAGTTGACTGTAGGAGAATGCTACAGTGTATACTCCTGGCAGCAGCCTGTTAAATGACTTTTGTTTGCAAATTGCATAGGAGGTGGCTCTCAATACTCCAATTCACAACTTGAGTGCTTGTCCACAGCCTGCCTGAACCATGCCCCTTTAACTGGAGTCTACAACTCCCTCTAAAATCCTGCCAGCCAATCCGAGGTGGGACTCCAACTTTTCCACCCAGTGAGGGAGTGTGACTGTATCCTCAGGTTCTTTCTTTTGCTTTAACCCTAAAGGGAGTGGGAGGGAGAAGGAAGGAAGAGGAGGAAGCATCCAGTCCCAGCTGTGGAGTTTTTGCTGCACATCTGTCCCACACACACCACAAGCAGAGAAACTGAAATTCCAGTGCTGAATCATATCTCTCCTTTCAGCCTTTTCCTTTAAAGGAAGAAGGAGGAAGCAATGTACTTGGAAAGCCAACTCATTCAGAGCAAAAGAGAGTGTGTGGATGTTTAAAAAGGAGAATCAGAGATATTTTTAGTCCCTTATATCCCAAAATAAATGTTGATGTAGTCTTTCCAGTAATCAATCCCCCTCCCCTCAACTCATCTCCTTGTGAAGGAGGGAACTTTACAAAGCCAAGGTGTTGTGGAACCGAATACTATTTTTTCAAAGGCATGCTAAGATTTAATTGTATTTGAGTCTAGAGGAGGGAAGTGTGTGGATGGGAGAGGGCTGGAAGGGTTACAGGCTCCAAGAGTGTTTTGGGGTGATTTGTTATATCCTGGGACGAGGACAGGTCACTAAACTATTTGGTGGTGAAAAAGCATCCTTCAGATAAAGCCATTTGTGAGCTGCCCATTCATGGTTCTATTTTATGCACTGGCTTCCCATTCAATGCTGGGCGAGAGGGAGTTGTCTTCCCAAGGTTTTAGCACTGATCAGGTGGTAGTGTACTGGCTCCATATCACAGCCAATAGAGGTAAAATATTTTAGAAGAAGAAGGGTCCAAAGATGTGATTCTCTTACAGTTTTTATAAATACTGGTGCCTCCAATAGAATTACTGTCTTTTAGCTCATGGTTTTGACCTGCAGTTTTAGCATCTTTACTGCTTTTAACACAGTTCATTGCTGCTCTTTCTTTGACAAAGAGATGTAAAGACAAAGCCCCTTTGTCCAGGTGAAAGTCTAAGTGGAACCCATATGTTTGTGTTTTCAACTTCCTTTCCCAACTCTCTCTGCCTCCTGCACCCCGCCCCCCCCCCCAATGTTTCCTGGGGCTCCCACTTCCTACTCAGTGACTGGATCCAGAAGCCATGAAATGAGTAATTCTACTAGCAGTGGCTCTTAGCTTCTTATGTGAACTATATCAAAATAGCAAAGAGCAGGATCCAGTTACTTCATTATGTTCTGAAATCAAAATAGACTTTTCAGTGGTAAAGAAAAACAGCAGCTTTTCTGAACTGAATACCTTCCCTCTAGATATTTTATTTAAAAAAAAAAAAAAAGAGTAAACCTAATCAAACCTCTGTCAATGTAGCTTTTAACTTGCCGTTGTGTTTTACTTGTATTTCTTCCACATGTTCTTGTAGCAGGGAAGCAATTTTGCAGTTTGTTTTTCCAGTTTCAGAACTGAGCCTGTGTTCATTTTGAACTGCTTTGTGCTTCTGAGTGTTACTTAAAATCGAGGCCACGTCCCTTTCCTCACCTGTTTCTGCACATGATCCCAAGCAGGATTTATTAGCATGTTATTGCCTTTTCTTCTCAGTGTCCAAAGGTGCTTTTGAAACATGAGGTATGTGACGTGGGTAAGCAGAGACACAGAGAAGTGAACGTGCTCACCTAAAGTCTTAGGGACGCCTCGGGTACCAATCTTCTTCTCTAACCATCAGACATATAGTTCACATAAGAAGCTAAGAGCTGCCTGCTAGTAGAATTACCCATTCAGCTCCTGGGGCAGAACCCTGTACTTTTATTGCAGGAAGTCCCAGGAGAAAAACCTTGAAGATTTTACATTTGTACCATGACTAGCATAATGACTCCCTGAACCTGCTTGAGGTCCTAATAAAAATCTGTCTCTCTATATATAAAGGGCTTTGTCCACCTGTCTGTGTGTCTGTCTGTCTGTAACGCTCTTGCGGGAGTGGGGGCATGGCTCCTGGCAGGGCATGGCTCCAGCCAGTGCTTCGTCAAAAATGCCCATCAAGAATGATGAGTGGAGCAAGTCAGGCAGATGCAGAGCGGGGGGGACTGGGGGTGGGTGGCACGGGCCAGCTGGGCTGCATGTGGAACGGCGGGGGGAGGGGGGTGGCAAAGGGCCAGATGTTGTGTGTTTGGTGGGGATGGCACACTGCTGGATGTGGAGCAGCAGCAGCTTGGGGTGGTGGGTGGTGGTGGTAGATGCTATGGGCAAGCTTCCCCTCCTCCCCTGCTCCTGGGAGGTGGCAGCAGTGTGGGTTGGAGATCATTCTTGATGGACAATTTGCTAGTTAATGATATTGATACATCACTAAACCATGAACACTGACTGTATGAAGTGAGCAGTGGCTCACGGCAGCTTATGCCTTTCTGATTCAGGTATTCTACATGGCATACCTCTACCTTGCCTTCTACCTGAACTGAGACTAACACTGTTAACTACTTCTCAGTGACAGATGCAGGACCAACATCTTCTGGCTTTCCTCTGAAGCCCTTGAGATGTGTGTAGCCTTGGTTCCCAATTGCATCAGTGGTAATTAAATAATTTCATTCATTCATTTATCCATTCATCAGAAATAACCCAAACAACTGATAAAATGTAGGGTGCCACAGTGATGAGGATGGTATAAACACTAGACCCAGGCTGGTAGTGTCCATGAAGCCACCAGACATGCTTTTTCTGACACTTTTACCAGATAATTTTAAACATCTTTCATATATATTAGAAAGGGCATGTGAGAAAATCTAGACAGCTAAAATATCCCACTGGTCAAAGTTTAGCCTACAGTTCATGTAGAAAAAGCCCAATGTAGGAAAGCTGCCTGCTGTATTAGCTCTAACCATGTTTGCATTTATTGTAACTAACCATCATATAATGGAAACTCCTAAATACCCAATATATTGGCTTTTAAATAAATATACTCAGTGTTCAGGTGCCCTTGTCATCTCATACATTCATCAAATGAGAACACGATTTGAAGAAATGCTTCTTATAAAACCTGATAGAATCTATTTTGCCTAACAACAAAAGGGACATTTCAGATATGCCTTAAAACTCCTGTATTCCTTTGGCTATGCTCTCATAGTTTTATGCTGGCTTTTATGACTTATTTACTATTTCTTCTTTATTTAGGTTTAAACAGCCATCATGGAGAGCCACATACAAAAAACTCTAGGTGCCCTGACAATTAAACAGTCTTCCAACAACACACCAGTTACTACTCGGCAGCAGCTTGTGGGGTGCTTACACCATCCTCTAGAGCATCTGGCGTTAGCCACTACCAGAGACAGAATCCCAGACTGGGATCTCGAGTCTAATGCAATAGGGCCATTCGTAGGTACATAAACAAACCTAGTCTGCCAGCAACGTTAAACAATCATAAATCGTGTCTGTGTGAGGATGAGATGTACTCATGATGCAAGAGTCGGAGCTGAGCAGTGACAAATGCAGGAGCAGAAGCATTTTCGGTAAATGTCAAAGGAAATTAAAATAAAGTCAGTACTAAAAAACCCTCGAATGCTCACACTGTGTCACGGGAAGGATTCCAGAGTAAGTTCTCACTGACTGCTTCTGAATAATGAGTCTGTGCTATACTTGGTTGCATACTATGAAGAGACGAATATCTTTCTCTGACTAAACACAGTTAAATCTCTGTAGTAATAGTCTCTGGAAATTGATGACAAATTGACGACGGATCAAGATGCTCAATTATGAGAAACGGAGCAGCAAGAAATCCTGGGCTTCCTGTTGATTCACCAGCAGTTTTTTCCAGAACAAAAGTGTCCCTGCAGAGGTGTCATCAAGCTATTGCTTCCTGAAGTATACTCAGAGGTCAACTGAACTATGAAGACAGAAGCCTGCATCACAGGCAAAAAAATAGTTGCCGGCTGATAAACTGTCAGTAGAAAGTTGAAATTAGCAATAATGATTTAATCAAACAGAATCCCTTCCTTATTCTGACAAGACACCGAAGCTTTCAGTTAGACTTCCTGTCTCTCTCAAGTTCTTTTTTTTATTGATTTGAATTGAATTTGAATTTTATTATAATCAGTAAAATTAAGGAGATAGGAAATGCTATATTAGGTTATCTGTGGGGGGCCAGAGAAAGGATTTTTTTTTCTTTCTAGTACATGCTCTTTTACAATTTAAAATGCTTTAAGCAATACAAAGATCCTAGGCCTGACCTTACTCTTTATTAGAGGGATAGAACTCAGTTGAACTTAATAGCTTAAACGAGGATTACAACTAACTTCCCCAGGTGAAAAGGAGAAGAGGATTGATGTAAGTGTGGTTACTGCTTTGGCAGGCAAGGGTCTTTGAGTAGATGTGATATCTTTTATTAGACCAACTGAGTAGCTGAGGAGAAGTTTTTAGCAAGCTTTCAGGCACAGTAACCCTTCTTCATGAGTCTCTGCTGGTCTGATACTCCAAGGAATGAGAGAAGCCGAAAGTGAGGCAGGATGATGTCAGTGAGAGTGTAAATAGGTAGTAATTAGAAAGACAAAAGGTAAAGCAGGGAAAGAAAAGGGAGACATTACAGTGACAGAATTCAAGGTAGAAAAGAGTCTGTCTGTGAAAAAGGAAATAGCTGGAGATCAGGAAAACAGGAATGAGAGAAGCTAAAAGGGTGACAAGATGGCAGCGAAAATATAAGTAGGTAAAAATTAGAAAAAACAAAAGGTAAAGCAGGGAAGGGAGGGGGTAGAAAGCAGGGGAAAAAAGCCAAAGGGAGACATACAGAGGCAATAATACAAGGTAAAAAAGAGGCATCAATAGGAGAGGAAATATATGGAAATCATGAAGACAAAAGGCAGAAAAGTGGGGGAAAGGAGGGGAGAATAGGTGGGGGAAAAGAAGAATATAAGATGTCAGGTCAGGCAGGTACCTGGTGAATCAGATGTCAGGTAGGTTGTACTGTGTCATAAAGTCAATGTCTATATTGAGTCCATGATTTTTTGTATACAGTAGATTTGTGAAGTGGAGTTTATAGGCTCATCTGCGAAAGCTGTTTTGTAAGTTCCCTTTGAGGATTAGGACAGAGAGATCGGAGAGGGAGCGGTAGTCCTGTGAGAAGTGCGTACCCACCGGTAATTGGGTATTTCTGTCTTTGATAGATTTCCGGTGTGCGTTCATTCTGGCGCGCAGTTGTTGTTTGGTCTCTCCTACGTATTTTCCATCAGGGCATTTGGTGCATTGGATGAGATGCATTACATTTCTGGAGGTGCAGGTGTAAGATCCACGAAGGGTGATGGTTCTGTTGTGGGATGTAGTTATTGTGCATGTGGTGGAGATGTATTGGCAGGTTTTGCATTTCTTGTCCTGGCACGTTCTGGATACATTGGGTGTAGTTTGGGTCATAGGGAGTTTGCTTCTGATGATGAGGTTGGTGAGGTTTTGTGGAGATTTTCCTTTTATGCTGTGGCAAATCTTCACGTGGTATCCGGGTGGCTCTTTCAAAAGTGAGATCTATCTCTCTGGAGGAGTGTCCTTGTTGGGTGAAAGCCCTTTTGAGATTTGTGAGGTGGCAATCACAGGTATTATTCTCCTCTTTCCCCTCCCCTGCTTTCTTCTCCCTCCCTTCCCTGCTTTACCTTTTGTTTTTCTCTCCCTAATTTCTACCTATTTATATTTTCACTGACATCTTGTTACACTTTCAGCTTATCTCGTTCCTGTTTTCCTGATCTCCAACTATTTCCTTTTTCACAGACAGTCTCTTTTCTACCTTGTATTCTATCACTGTGATATCTCCCTTTTCTTTCCCTGCTTACTTACCCCTCCCTTCTCTGCTTTACCCTTTGCCTTTCTAATCTCTACCTATTTACATTCTTACTGACATCCTGCCTCATTTTTAGCTTCTCTCATTCCTTGGAGTCTCAGACCAGACTCCCTATGTATGACGAAGAGTGATTGCACCTAAAAGCTTGCTAAGAACTTTATTTTCCAGCTACTCAGTTGGTCTAATAAAAGATATCACAGCTACTCAAAGAACCTTGCCTACCTATGTCCTTAGACCAACACGTCTACAACCAAAAACCCTGGTTACTGCTTTAGCATTCTCACCTCTGACCCTGAAGAATTAAAGCTATCTCTTCATTGCAGTCTTGCTCAACCCTAAAAGATCCCAGTTATGTCAGCTTATTTATAATCAGGAAAACACTACAGTGCTTTGTCCTCCCTTTGTGTTTACCTCAAGATCTGAAGTAAAGACACAGATAGAAAAGAAAAGATGGAGAAAGAAAAGAAGACAAGACTTGAGACAGGGAAGGAAGTAAAGGAAAGTCATGTCTCTTGATTAGGACGCAGACTTCTGTTGTCCAGTAGATTGGCATTTCACCTGGCATATCCTGCCTACTGTACATGAAACAATTATTTAGCTCTGAACACAGGTTTTCACATTTCTCGGCCATGAATGATAGATTTGGGATCCAAGTTGGACTAAGGGTCTGGGTCATAGAAACACTGACAAGAAACAGATGCTCTTTAACTTGGTCCCACCTTGCACAACATGGATGGATTCCAAGTGTTAACACTCACAGCACAGAGGTAAATATGCACTAGCACTAGTTGCTTCTGTTAAACAATGGTTTTAGATGGCAATCACAACAGAGTCGTCACCCTTATCTATCTTATGTTTCTGGTAATGATCCTATTAGTTTAATGCATGGGTCAAGCTTAACAATCATTATCTTTGCTAGCTTTGCCTAGAATAACGTCCAGGATTTTTCACTAAGGCTCCTAGTAAGCCATTATACTGACTTTCCTCTTGTTCACTCCATCAGAATCCCACCCCTAAATCACTATGCTTGCTGGCGCTTGTTACAGCTACAAGAGTCCAGGGTTATAATCTGACAGTATGTAAGGGCAATTGCTGGATTTTCTGGCTATTACAAACAATGTAGGAGGGTGCTTTAAAGAGCAGGGAGAACTTGGTGGTAAAGAAACTGGTCCATAACAGTTTAGAGCTCTGCTTCACTCCTTCTACCTTTACAGCTGAAAGGACTAAGCCCGAGCTCATGAGAAGGGCCTGCTGGGATTTAAAGAAGTCCTGGAGTGCAGGGCAATGGGCTAGAAGGAAGTGGCCAATTGCCAACTTGATGGTGGAGGGAAGGGGCATAAAGGCTCTCCTTACTTAACTTTCAGGCAGGGAGGATCCTGAGTTAAGGGAAAGGATCAGACTTGTATGAAGAACTCTTTTACTGTGATGAGAAGGGAGTAAGATCCTGGGTTTCCACACTACATGCTTACTGGTGTCAGCTGGCAAGGTAAGAAACACTTTGGTCTTTGCTGAGCAGTTGATGGGCTGCTGTCCTTCTAAGTGTGTGTTTGTGCTTATCTAGGTCTTTCTTTTATGTCTGTCTGTGCCGTGTTTCCTTTTCACTCTTTGTCACACTAAAATGAGAATTTGGCCAGGGATGACAGAAGCACAATGGCTGTATTTATAAGGGTAGGTTGTAACTCAAGGTCTATTATAACACACAGGTGCAGATTGTTATATTTTTAGTGGTATCCAGTTCTGTTCATAACTTGTATAATCCTTTGTTCCATGAAAAAAATACATTTATGAGCTGCAAATCATAGAGATGACACTGTGGTTAAGGGGATTATTGCTTATGTTTTCAGTAAGAGAACTGTGCCTTACTACAGTCTTGGACAGTTTTCAACTTTTTTTCCTGCTTTGTATGAACATAAAGGGCTTACTGGAGTAGAAAATACCTCTGCACAGCTGCTTTTGTTTAGGTTTTTTTTCCCCTTTCCTCCCTGAACATGGTAGTGATGATTATAGATTTTGGTTGAATTACTTTTTAAGAAATGTCTCGTCTTGCTGCCTCTGAATCGGAGCAAAGCAACCAGATGAAAATGAGGTTGAAAGCTGGGTGGAAGCAATGGATGTGAAAGAAGAGAACGCAGTTAAAACCAGGCAGCTCTTCTTATATTGCTTGCCAACGAGATGAAGTAAACCATGGTACTTGTCAATTTTACCTGTGCCTACTTGTGAATGGAAATGTTACTGCAGTGCAAAGGAGGGAGGGAGGAGAGGCTGGAGACACAGAAATTGCCATTCAGAGACAGAGAGAGTGTATCCTGCTTTTTTTAATTGCCCACAATCTAGTGAGCCATACAATTTATGAGCAAAAAATAAATCCCATAATTTGGATAAAAAGACAAAAGCAGTAATACATGTGGTTACGGACATAGCCATTGTGTTGCAGGGTTTCCTAATTTGGCTGTTTTTATATGTGGGGATCTTTCTTCCCAAGCCTCATGCACGTCAGTTGCATCATCAGAAGACTATTCCTACAAATAAGGATTTCAGAATATTGCATATTTCTTGGCCTGGGGATCCTCTGAAAGTGCTGTTTTTGCTAAAAATATTCATATAGCTGGCAAGTTATACACTTTCTCTTTGGATGGAGATCCAGCTGTGCTGCTCATGATACCTCCAGGCTGCAGGGCAGTCACCTGGGCCACAAGGATTAGCTGACTCCTGCACAAAGCATCTTACTTTTGGGTAAGAGAAACTGCTGAGAACACACTGTGCTGGTCTTGTCTTCTCTCTACTGGCTACCTATTCAGTTCTGTATCTGCTTCCAGGGTTGAGAGAAGCCCCCAGCAGGCGAGAACTAGGTAATATACCTTTCTCTCTCTCTCTCTCTGCTACTGTACCAGATACTAGTTGTTCCTCCTCCTGCTGTGCAACCTTAATAAGTGGGACTAGATGTTCACTATTAAGGACGTTCCTCTGTAAAACTCCCTATCCCGTAAGAACAAAATGAGTCCAAGTGCCACCTTATGAGTGCAGTGAAAGAGTCTTCTCCTATGGTCTTTCAACAGAGAGTGGACCTGGTAAAATAGCCTACCTTGCTTGGAAAGCAGTATGATATGAGAAAGTAATAAAGCATCCTAGTTGGCTTTTCTTAGACTGAAACTTCACTAGCATTCATTACATATGGGGCAGGGTGAGATGAGCCTGTTAGAACTGCAAAGATATAGATATTTGACCTAAAGATTTCTATCCTGAAGAGTGTATGTTTAACTGAAAGGAAGGACTCCCCAAAAAACCCCACAAGAAACTTCATTTACTATAGCCTAGGGGCTGTCAGTAAAACAGGAATGAATTAAGCCACTCCTTAAAAACAGCACAGTGTGAAATGTATTTCTCACCATCACTCAATTCTAAGTTTAATGTACCCGTGATTTTTTTTTTTTTTTTCTCCCAGTGATTTTTCTTGTCACTTAGAGATGATAACTTAAGATGCCCCATTTATTGATTACATATGTAATCGTACATATTTCTAGCATTCTTCCCTTCTGGATGATAAAGTGGTTCTATTTAAACTGTTGTTACAATGCCCCAGTAATTCCTTTTAAAAGGTTGTCCTATCACCCCACTTATTCATGTGGAAGGGCCCATTGTTACTTGACAGTGGATGTCATATTTCTTTCTTTTTTTTTTTTTCTTTTATTAATGATACACTGCATAAGTGCTAGCATTTATTTAAACTGCCAGTTACTGCAGCAGTAAATATTAATCACTTTCTAAAAGAAGAAATGTGCCATTGTTTGCGCTATAAGAAAATGTGTGTTACCATAGGCTGTCTTGCTTCTGCAGGGACAAGAGAAAAATGGTATTTACCATTTAGTTTTGTGGTATTTCAGGAGGGGGAAAAAAACCACTGTAAGGCTGCACTAAATCTCCCTAGCTTAACTGTTTGCTCACAAGCTCAAGAAAGCAACTGTGGATTCAGAAGAAAGTATTTGCATCCTTCGATTTAGCAACAGTTTATGAAATATTTTTGCAAGTTTAAACCATGCACCACTTTAAAAAATAGAAAGCATCTCGAGGCTACAGGAAAGGATTTTCTCCAATGTCAGATAAAATCACAGATGTAACAGCTTCCCTTGTTTGTTGACATGGAAATGGGAGCAGCCGTCCAATTTAGAAGGGTGGCTATTTATGTCGGAGATGCTATGTGCCAAGTATGCGTTTGAATCAAAATGACAAACCTTGGTAAAGTAATGTTTATAATAAGAATATCATGAAGCCAATCTGAAGAAATGTGATGTTAACACCAACACTGGGGAGACCTGAAGCACAGAATCGTCTCCAGTGGAACCATGATGTATGACCAGGCATGCACCTTTTCAGCCAAACTTGCCTCATTGTGGAGGCAGATAGACAGGAGAGACGGAGGAAAGAGGTGTGACCCACCACCATCAGGATCTGCTCCTTTCCTCTGGAACTACTTGCCATGTCCACAGTTGAACGTGTGGATCTCAGATCAGTCTCCTCAGTCCTGTATTCTGTGGACTCACCGATTTACTTCCCTCTTTACGGGAAGACTATCATCCTCATATTGAGGGACTGCATTGAAATGGCACTACTATAATCATCTTTACATTGATTTCGGCTCTCACACAGCTAATGATTGTGTTCATTTCAGAGGTGCAGGCTCCGAAAAGCTTGGTTAATGAGTAGTGTCCTAGAGAGCTCTGCACATCTGATCATACTTCTTGTTCCACTTCATAGCCCCTTTGAACCCTCATTAACACTTCTCCTTTCAGTGTCCTTCCTGTAGGTGGGGAGGCAAAATTACCCTAAATCTCTTGTGCGACTGAAAAGTAAGGGACTGTGATGATGTATCAGCAAAATAGTGTTAGTGGTTTAAAAGGAACAAGTAAAGAGTAGGCACTTTACACAGGAAGTAATTATATATCCTTTTTGCCCACTTTCTGACCGTAGCCACAGGCAAAACAGTTGCAAAGCCATAGTGTTTTAGCATTTCATATTTATTTCCCAATAACATCTTTCCAATTAATTTTATGAATCAAATGTACAATGAAATGGTATTAATCAATAATACTTAGCAGTTTATTGCCAGTGCAGCTTACAAACTGTAATAATATTCAACCTTACAACACCCTTCTGAGATATCTAATTATCATTTTCTCCATCTTGCTTATGGAGAATTCAAGGAACAGAGAGGTTAAGGGACTTCATGTCAACAATGAGAGTAGAGCACAGATGTCTCCACTTCCAGACAAGTGCTGTAGCCAGATGATCATATTCCCTACTTGGAAGATTTTTGTAATTCCTAATATTGCAAGCTCTACTTAGTAACTAATACATAAAACCTGGTGTGGGTGGTGGGTGTGTGTGCATTTCCTTTTTTTTGTTGTTGTTGTTGTTTTTGTTTCATACTTTTCCCAAGCAGATACAGTCAAAATCAGAAATTTAAGCAAGCAAAATATATAGCTGGTGATCCCAGGAAATAGAATAAACTATTTTCTATGTCTAACTTTATCCCAGCCATGCACCTAGTCTAATAAAAGATATCACCCCCCCAAAAATCCTTGCCCCTCACAATAAACTATTGCCCACTTTTCTTTAACATGAACTTGGGGGTTTGTGGGTAATCTAAATGGCTTTTACACAGGGGCCCAATTCTGAGACCTGTGAACAGAATTGCAGTGTTGCGTGCTTGTAGACATAGGTCAGCAGCGAAATGGAGAATACTGAGTCCCAATGTGTGTGGCTGAGGAATAGAAATCAGTACTGTTTTTGCATATTTTGGTGAGGTGAATCTTTATAGTCCACGTGAACTGGAACCTACTCACCACAAATAGGCGTTAGTAGTTTGTGGGCTAGTTTGTGGGCAAGGTGCACATTCTTCTCCTCCTCCCTTTGTGAAGACCAAGTATGAAAGTTGCTTTTATGATTCTGTGTAGAGATCATTTGAAAGGGGCATCTTTTACAGCGTTGTTCAAAGTTTTATATAATATAAAGTGTGTGTGTGTGTATGTATATATATTATAGGCCCTTCTGCATCCCATTTACTGCCTCTGAATCTTTAGCACTGAACTTACTCTTTTTAGTAAGGGCCAGTTTTTTTTTAAAGGTATCTAACAGCCTAGATGTTAATCTGTGATGCTGAATTTCCCTGCTTTTGTTAGTGCAAGGGAGATTATTTATATTCTTTTAATATAGCATCAGATTTTTGTTAGTGATTTAGTAAGTACGAAAGACCTAGTCCTGTACCAAATTCTGGCATACAACCCCCCCCCCCCCCCCCCAGCACTGCATAGACATTCTGTGTATTTATCTCTATTCATCCATTTAGTTAATCTTGTGTATTAGCTCCTTATTACTCTTTTAAAAATGCCAGCTCATTCATCTAACAGAGTCTCCCACTCGGATGTTGCCTACTAATTTGATTTAGGGCGCTGTAACTCTTTAGCTTCGTCACTTGAAAAATATGCCCTC